AATTAAAATAAGTGAGAAATTTACTCAAAGAGATCACTGATCCTTAATGTTTACTTTAGAATTATTTGGTATTTGGAAGAATTAAAAATCTATATACAACTTTTCCTTCCTCCTAGCACTCCTTCCAGCTTATGCAAGTGTGTAATAATCATTAAAGCATAAAAATACTTAACAGGCATTGGGATTTCAATAAACTGAATGTGGGATGAGGGTTGCATTTTCATTTCATGGTATATTTCCCTTATTCTGAATCAGAAACTCAGTCTTGGGAGCTGTTATTAGGTAGGTAATTAGTGAGTGACTCAAAGATATCTCGCACCCAATGTAGCACCCCCAGTGTGGGGAAATAGTTTAGCATGAGTATTTAAGTGCCTGGAAAAATGTACAGTTAACGGCTGTGCTAACTTATGTCCTGTTGAAATTGCTGGAGAGCTCTGTTTAATCCCAACATGGACAAATGCCCTCACAAGCAATGAGGGAGCACCTCCTGGGCCAGGCCCGGGCTAATGCTGCACATGCAAGTGCTGTAGTTGCTATGAAGTAGAAAAGAGGGGAAATAAATAATTAAATGACATGTAACATGGCTGGTCTAAAGTTTCTAACTGCTTGGGGATGTAAAATGTCTGGGCTAAACTGGTGGGTGGCCCTCAGGCAGCGGCAGCCATTTTGCTGGTGGTGCATAGTGGTGCTTGGGACAAGCTTGTGTGGTGGAGGTGGCATCCCTGGGAGGGCGGCTGTCCTGATGGTGACAACATGGCGGCTGGGGGACATGTGGGCCCATGTGCAGCTTCTGGAAATCTCCTGCTGCCTTTCTAGGGGGACGGTGTGGCAGCCCAGCAGCCATTCGGCAGGCCCTTCGGAGGGTATCTCTTGCTGGTGGGGGACATGTGAGGGAAGAGCAGTGCTTGCTCTTCAAAGTTCAGGCTGAAACATGTGCATGAACAAATTCTGTTTTGTGAGTTGAACTGATCTTTTTCCTATATTGTAAGAAAAAAAAAAAAGTGCTTTTTATTCAGGAGCAATAATGCTGAGGTGTTGGAAGAGGGGGACAGACTACGCTGAATATGAGACTTACTCGTGAGCTCCTGTTGCAGCTGACTTGTAGAAAACTTCCCTTTATTCCTGGAGCACCTCCTTTTTTCTTCCTGTGACCTTCTGTCGGGTTACGAGCTGCTCTGTAACAAAGGGGAGGTTTTGTAATAATGTACTGCTTCAGCCAAAGAGTATTTCATATTCATTCTTAGTACTGTCTATCCCTTTTGTAGGAACGCTTGATAGTCACCATAAATAAATGCAGAGTTAGACTGTAGCTCTCAAGGTGACTGGCACAGGAAAAAGACAGTTGTTACTGATTTTTTCAATCCTTCTTTGTAATGTATGTAGAAGGCAAGGAGGTTTTTTTCAAAAGAAAAGTATTTCAGTTTCCTGCCCTTTTTTTTTTTTTTTCTTCCTCTTGTGGTAGAAATTCAGACAAATGTATGGACATCACAGGCATCATCTTAAGAAAATCTTGTTGAGGGATGTAGGGAGAATAGCTCTTCCAAAATCAGTTGGTTTGCATCCCCTTTGCCTGAGGAGTGGCAGTGGTGGTGGCATTTTCATTTGTTTTTCCTAGGGGGTGTTCCATTCTAGTGAATTCTTCTTTAGCATCAATCTTTTCCTAGTCTTTTTCGATCTTTCCCAGCTTGAAGCTTTTTAAGCTGCTCCTCATTTAAATTCCATTTGTTTGGAGGTTAGTTTTGGTTGGTTGAGTTTTTCTTTCCAAAAACATGTTTCATTCTAGTGAATGCTTCCTAAGCTTAGTAAGTAAAGTAATTTTGCCTTAGTTCCAATACTTAACATCATTTTTCTTCATCATTTTTTTTCTTCTATAAAAGCATGAGAGCTTACAAACAGTATTTCTGAACCTTCTATCTCCACACACGCACACACAAAAAGGAAGATTAGATTCAATGTTCCTTCTGCTTCTAAGGCACGGAACTATCAGAAAGAAACACTTTTATTTTCAAAATCTTCTTGTCTGCATTGGAGAAAAGTTAACGATAAGCAAACCTCAATTACATAACCTACATAACCTCCTTCACGGCTAGTTGGAAGGTATGAGGATTTGTAATATATGTAAAGCCATAATCCTTTCCTTGGCTCTCTGAATCACCTGGAAAACTTTCTCTGCTTCATTGATGATGGCTCAGCCTCTGGGGGAGAGCACACGGAGATAGATTGTTACAAGCGTGTGGCTACAGGTGCTGCTCTTCCTAGGCAAATTCCATACAGCTGGAAGGGGTAACATCATTTTCACTCTCCTTCTCAGCCTAGCTGCCATTCCTGTGAGCCGTCAGGCTATTTGCTGTTCCCTCTTGCTTCTGTGCCCCCACAGATGGATGAATGGATGGACGAACGACAGACAGACATCAAATTATGCAAAATGGGACGCAGACAAGTGTGTTGTATCCTTTTGCAGCAGAAGAGGAGGCTTGAGGAGGATGACACAGCAATAATAATAGAGTTATTTTAAAAGTCTACTGTGGATAATTACAGTGAGGCTCTTAGAGGGGGTGGGAGAACTTACCAAGAAAGAAAGGAGAAAAGACATTTAAGTACATTTTAGCCCAATTCACATTTTAGGCTGTTTTTCTACAGAATAAAAAACTTGCCCAGAAAGGAAAGCTGAGGCCAAGATGGTTCAAACCAATATTAATTCACAGCAAATCCCATGCTAGTACTGTGTAATAAAAAAGACTGAGTACGTTTGTTCTAATAGAAAGATAGTAGGTGCCTTAGAAGCACCTTTGAGAATAAAATTCCCTCTGTGCACATCAGTTGCTAGCAATCATTTTACGTGATGTATTTTGGCAAACTGACTTGCTATATTTTTTCCATTTAGAAACTACTAGGATTGTTTAAGTACTGGAATAACGTGGGAGAGAATTAGTAATGTAACCAGTATTAAACTGCCCTATAGGCACTTCTTGGCTCATAAAACTCAAAAATGTTCTGACAAGGGATGTCTAACTTAAGTTTATTTAAGGTATTTTCCACTCCTCCAAGTTGCTTGATATCTCAAATTACTTCTGAAATGTACAGTAAGAGAGAATATTAATCCTCGTGCTTGAGCGCCTTGGACTGGTCTCCAGTGAATTCTCTTAAAGAAGATGATATTGTAGCTTTTGATAAAATACAGCTCAGGCTTTTAGCCTCCTTTTCCTCAGTATTTCCATTCCCAATTCAGTTGGTCTGAGCCGCAAGAAAAATAATTCTGTTTTGCTCATCCTTTCATTTGTCTCACAAGAATTCTTCTTGCTAGCTTTGTGTGCACAGTGCACTCTTTGTCTGGTTAGGAAGAGGTGAAGTGGTCCTGTCACTTCCTTTTCTAGAAATTATAGTAAAGAAAGGTTACCTTCAAAATCTCTTCCTCTAAGATATCTCTTCTCAAGGCTGATGGAGATTTACAGGTCTTCAGTTAACCCATGAGACTCTACCCTCCAACGCCATAAAGCTTTGATAAGCCTGCCTCCATACAGTGCCCTTCCACTTGAATTTTATCCCTGAAAATTGGTTGTTAGGGATAACGTGTCACAAAATGGCATGCCATGACAGTATTCACTCCTGTTGTTGATCTCTGTTACAGGTAAATTTATCAATATAACTATATTTTAATTGTGCTTCTCTTTGGCCACAAGCATTGTATAAACATGCAATGGGCAAAGGAACATTTGTAACTCTGATGCTTGTAAACAGATGCAGTTTTGTCAGGATTTTAGAGCTGCCACACTATTTCCAGTTACCACGGCATTTTCAAGATGCTGTGTTTAAAGCTTGGTTTATGAGTTGCAGGGAATTTTAAATGGAAATGGCTTGTTTTCCACCAGGGCAGCATTTAGACAGTGACAGGTAGAGTAGGAAGATCACTAAGCAGTAGCCATGCTGCTACATTGTGTAGTGCAAATTGATGAGGGAATACCTGCAGCCTTTCCTATGCCAGGCATTCTATTCATATTGTGTGAAAAAAATGATATGAGGCTTATATAAATACCTAGGTAGATACTGCAGTCTGTAAGAGCTGCCTTATAAATGCCTGTTTGTCTGCTTTAGTATCCAGCTGTTATTTTTTTTCTAAAATGAGTTTACATGACCATACCTAGATGTCATTTCAGTCTCAGAGAACTACTACTCTAATCTGCTGAATGCTGGATGCTCGCTAACGGATTTTAGGACACCACTTAGAGTCAGCTTTTATAGCACTTTTATGCTTTATGACTAACACAGCTATTTTGAAATGGAAAGAAGGTCTTCAAAGTAGATAAAGGGCAAAAAAACAAACTAATTATGTTTAGGCAAATCAAAATAGAGAAAGGAACAAGGAAACGCATTAATAATTTGCTATATTTAATTGCAAGCTACACTATTACTCCCTCAAAGGAAACATTTTGAAGACATTCCACTCAAATATTATTGAATTATGTTAGGATGAGAGACTATTTAAGCACTTCTTTAAACTGGAGGAATCAGACAAATCAGGGAGGTGAAAAGACTTTGATTCCCCAGAAAGGACTTTTTGTGGTTTATGTGTTTGGGGCTGTTATATTTAAGGATGCACTATAAAAATGTGCTGTGATACACAAAGAAAGTAATTCATTATTTTTTCAGTAACGGTGTCTTGATCTGGCTGTGTTTTTTATCACAGATTCTAACAGCTCATTTTGTAAACACTTATTGCTATTTTATAACGATTTATTTCCCCAGGCTGCCTAAAGCATTGAAAAATTATAATTATCATAAAAATGAATATCGAAGGTACAGGGAACTTCCTATCAGATTTTCTCACTCATGTCCAATAGACTTTATACGTCTGGACAGAAACTTTCTGGAGTTGGGAGGAAATAGGATTTTCTATGCAAAGGGAAGCTCAACCTCCTTGGAGGTTTTAAGGGACTCTCAGAATATGGACTGTGTCTGGACTAAGGTTAGGCAAACAGGTCAATCAGTCAGTGTGCACCAAGATGGGATTAGCTGCTCGACAGCAACTGCAGCAACAAGAGCACACAGGCTTCTCAGAGGTGGCCAGGAGGTCTCACAGGTGGGTGAACTGAGGGTACAAGTAAACTTGTTTATGTGACATGTCTGCTCACCTGCCTGATTTAATTCAGGAATTGTGATCAGCTAGTATGGCAGAAACTTGTGCTTTTGGTTCATGCCATCCTTGGCTCTTTCCAGAATGTCAGAGACTAAATGTCAGCAGGCCACATCTTCCCTAGTAACTGATCAGTTGTGGTTTGTGTCTGCAGCCCTTACGCTTCTGGTGTCATCCTGTGGTGTGACACTTTGAAGACCCCTTCTCTTGGCCACCACTGTTTTACTCGAAGAGCCTCCAAGCTGTGCTTTCCTGGTTAGGTAATTAATACACAACCTAGTCAAGCATACATCTCTCTCTCTCTTTTTTTTTTTTTCCCTAGGATTATTAAGGAGTTTACAAGAAAAAAAAAAAAAAGAAAGAAAAAGAAAAGAAAAAGGTCCACAGCTATATTGATATACATATTAATATAATGATTTGGTACCACTTGGTATTGATATCTATTAGTTATGGCAATATCCCTATTATCAAAATTGCTTTACAACAGGAGGGGTTTCAGTTACTAGAATTGCATTAGCCATTTTAAAAAGTTTATATCATGTTTCTTTTGGAGAACACTGTAATTCATGTTTGTAACTCAGCTCAATTTAGTGACTTCTAGAGCTTGGAACAGATATGAAGAGAGCTGAACTCAAATCCTTAGTGTACTCTGCACATTGTCAAAGTTATGTAGCAGTAACGATGGAGTAATTCTGTGCAAATGTGCTGCATATGCAAAATTCATTGGTAGGGAGCTTTGGGAGACAATTTCTAAATCAAGGATTCCAGTTCGTTGTTATTACAAAGAAGATTAATTCTGTTTGCAAACTTGCAACAGTTCTGTTTACAATCTACTTTGATTTTGCAGAAATAATCATATCACTTTAAGCAGATTCTCCATCTAAAGGCAAACATTTTAACAATTACATATTCCATTTGGCATATCTTACTGGAAGCTGTGGACTAGCACAGGAGTTGGATTGTAAAATAAAACTTTCCAGTTATCAGGAGATATTTGGAGAGAAAGTAAAACCTGTTGGAGTTAAGAGAACTGGGATGTAAATGCCTAAGCGTTTTATTAATGGAAGCTCTTCAGAGGACAAGGGTTTAAACCAAGTTTAGAAAAGAATCTTTAAGAAACTACTTGAGGAGCCGAGAAACATTTAGTGAAGGACTTAAAAGCATTACAAGACGTTAAAATGTACAGCATCTGATAGATGATGGGTCTGAAGATCCAGTGATAGAGTATCCTGCTAGTGTTTGAGAATTCCTCTCAAAAAAGCTCTTTCTCCTTCAGCCCTTCACTGCAAAACACCATTCCTCTTAGTCCAGCAACCAAAATCTCAGAGAGCTACTTAACCCTAAAATTCTGACTCAGAACATTAGTTTAGTGATCCTAGTGATCTAGGTCCTTCTCTGTTCAGTTGGTGATAGCTGATTTCAGTGGTTTTGTTTGACTAATAGAATTAGCAACTGCACTTAAGCACTGCTTGGTTGGAATTTTCAGACTTTATCAGACTTGGAGGAAGGAATTCTATGACTTGAATGGAAGCTTCCTAGCTGAATGCTCTGGTTTTGTATATCTATCTAACAAGACAGCCAAGGAGAGGTGACATTGACTATGTTATAGCTATTCTGATGTGGGTGATTTTGTCCCAGCAAACAGGAAAAGTAGACACAGGCATGAATATGATGAGAATGGGAAAAGCCTACCCATCTTCAGACGTGACAGGCAGAGTTGGGCACTTCCACCCATGGCTACAAGGTTTTCAAATAGAAGTGAATCCAAAAGATGTAGATTTTCTTTTGGTCATCGCTAATTAGAAAAATTCGCAGTGATTAATATACTTAACATGAACTCTATGAAATCTGCAAAACCTCATCAAGCAATATTTCTTGCTTTTGCCACCTCCAGCTTCCCAATAGCTGCACTGTGAAGGGAGCAGTGCAAAAGGCTGTGGGGTGGGCCATGAGGCAAAGGGGAGTTTTATCACTACATTTCCAGAAATTAAATGCAGTCTGTAAATTTGTCAGAAATGGTAATTAACAATAATGCCATCTACAGTGAAATACATTCCATCTGACAGAATGGGAATAAAACCCAGATAAAACTGTAGGCTTTCTATGCAGCTGAGAAACTGAATCCTCCAAAGGGTAACTACCTACTTCTCCATGGACTATAGGAAGCCTTGGAAATAAATATTTTAACCTGAACACTTAACATTCCCTGCAAGATAATAAGTTTTGCACGCAATATGTATCTAGTTACTTGCTAAATTGGCATCTAATTGTTCACTTCCAAAGTTTTAACTGCTACAATATCTATAAAACTTTGTGTATCTGTTTTCATGGACCCAAATACAGCAAAAGTTTTGAATTATTTCTGTATTTGGAGTATCAGTGTAGATCTGTATGTTTGAGAGCTCAGTGGACTTGAGGTTCAGTGCACCTATTCAGTTGCAGTCAGAGTAACAGGAAGTCATTGCCACTGGTGTAAAATGGTCCAAGGACTTTATGAAGAGTGACTTTCATAGGTAATACTATCTAATTTATTGATCAGAATCAAAGACACCATAAATGTCCAGGTCAGAAGAATTATCTTGTCTAATTAGCCTAATAGGCTTTCACCTATTCACATCCTATCAATAGAGAGATACTGTGTAATAGTGTTGTGTGTTCTGTTCCTTTTTTTGCAGATATGCACAAGAATTAAGTCCACAGGGCTGCTAATTCAGAGTCTACCATGATCTCTATGTCCACATTAGAACCAAACATATTGCAGCTATACCTACAGCAGAAGTTTAGTGCATACTCAGTGTTCCTTCTCTTTTTTTTTTCTCTAGTTTCTTTCTTAAAACTTCAACAAAGATAAATAAAATAGCAGTTCCAATAGTAGAACTGGTTAATCTTTATAAAATTGTATGAGGCTTAGCAGTAAGACTTTTCTCTTGCTGCGATGGGAAAATCACTATTAAAATCCACCATAACATTTTAAAGTGCAGGAGAAATACTTTTCTTTTTCTGACCTGTTCATCCTAGAGGCATTATAAAATTACAGTCATAATGCAACAGTTATGGTTGAGAGGACAGGACAACTGCAATACAGTACTCTTAAGGCAAATGTGTTAATACAGGAATGTGGTAGCTTGAATAATTTAGTCCACTAAATCAGTTTAGTTTTAGCTTATCACTTGGCTACTGACATGCTTTTTTCCTATTCTCAGTAGTGCCTTTCCTCTTGTAGGCACTGGTATTAATGAGGTCAAGTTGTTCCTTCCTGAAGATAAGTGATGACTTGAACTTAATCACATTATTATCCAGGTACATATTCTAGCAAAAGAGATTATTAAAGACTTTTTATTTTTCCTGTGGATAGATAAGAGGTAAATTATTTCAGTATAGGGGAATATATGTATTTTAATCTAGATTACTTCTCCAAAGAAAATTTGACCATATTTCAGAGAGCATTCTTAAGGATAAAAACATATTCTGCTGGCTTGAAATGCCTCTAAACAAGAATTGAGTGCAATCACAACAGCTTACATTAAGTAAGATTACATTAGGCCCATCTACGAAAATGTCTCACTGCTTTCTCTGTCTCTGTTATCAAAATTCCTTGTTGCAATTTAGTCTGTGGAGTTATTTTCAACATATTCATAATTGTTGAGGATTCAAACAAGGCTGAAATCATATGTCGTGAGAAGAAGTGGCATGCAGGGTCTCCCATTTGTTACAAGCCTTGAAGAAGTTAAGCTTATGGGTAGGCAGCTTAAACTGAGCCCAAACAAGAAAGAGGTGCTACTGGCCAGGAAAGTCACATAAGGCTTCAGAAGAGATACTTTCTCTATCATGCCAAGAAAGCAAGTGGTTTTACATTTTAAAGACAGTATTCAGTGTTTAGTCACTATAAAAAAACACGTTTGGTGATATTTATTTGGCAGGGAAGCACATCACTGCTATTGAAAAGCTTTTTTACAGTTGCAGTATATTCCCGTAGTCCCTTGAATTTGTGCAGCTGTGACTCACTTTATTTGGGGTTTATACAGGGACTACTGCTCAATGCACTGTAGCAGCATGACTCGTGGCTAAGATTATATGAACGTGTCTTTTCCACTGGTGTTATGCCGTGACAAGGGGCAGAACTTAGTGTATTCTGGATCCAGTCTGTGGAGGTGACCCAAAAAAAAAAAAAAAAAAAACCAGCAATGACTGACTAAAAGCAAATGATGATAATTTTCAGACCACGCAAAGAATCTGTTTTACATGGCTAATGTGGCTTTGGTAACTGAGCTGAAGCTTCACAAAAACAACACTCTTAATGGTTATTAGGTAAATCAAAGGCTATAACATCCATCGTATCATTTGCAACACAGCTGAAGCAGAATATAATATGAATGCCACCAATATTGTCAATGGAATTATTTTAGGAGATACTCTCAAGAGAGCAGTTGAATTACCCCAGGGAAGGATCATATAATCACAGAGTCCTCAGTGATACAAACTGAAGCAGCTGTTCTGATAGTCCCCAATGAAAAGGGTGAATACATATTGAAATTCATAATTGATAATGACCTGCCTGAGAGCATACGATAAACTGTAAGATAATTCTTCCACATTTAAAAATAGATTATTTCTACGTCATTCACTAGAATTATCTCTGCACAGCAAGAAATTTTTGTCATGCTACAATGATGAATTTTCATCATATGCAGATGCTCAAATATGCAAGTTGGTGATTAAAGAGGACTGCACAAGCAAGAGTTTGTCTAGTAGCAAAATCAAGGCACTCTTCTACTAATGATACAAAGAAGTAGTTTTGAAAATTTATCATGTGGAATTCTGCATTTTGCCACAATGAAATTATTAAAAGAGCAGGATCAAAATGTGCATGCTTATAGTTTCTAGTCTTTCAGCTTCACCTTCACTCTCACAGCACTGCTTAACAACAACATTTTTAGACCATCAGC